CCTTTGAAATGTCGAGCGAGACCACGTGGGTTTCTCCATGGTTCTCGAGTACAGTTTACCAGGAATGTGATGCGAGCGCCCGTAGATCGGCCTGGGGGAATTCTATATTGACGGTCACTCAACAAACTTTCGCGTTCGAGAGACGTACGCAGCTGGTCAGAGATATTGGTTTCAAATATTTTTGAAGTTCAAGTCAAGTCAAGAGGCGGCTTTAATTCGCTTCATAAGGGATGAACATTCAGTTACTACAAAGTTACAGAAGTGGGAGTAGTGGGCGATAGTTGTTAGTGTCAAAAGGGTCACCGCGCTTTGGGATAAGAAAAACAATGGCATTTTTTTCATTTAGTAGGTAAAAATTTGAAATTGAGCGAAGAACAGAAAAGGCGGCGTAGCATTGCGGCTAATCCCGGGCGCACATTTTTCAGACGATTAGTGGAACACCGTCCGCACCGAGTGGCTTATAAACATCCAAATCATAAAGAGTTNAAAGAGTTTGGCGGACCTTTCTGGTTGTTATGATAAGTAGAACGAAGCGGCTGCATGTTTGGGAAGAGAGTTGAACAGTAGGGTCGGCAGATAAGGTGGAGTTGGATGCAAACCGGTAAGCAAAGACCTCTGTTTTTTTCGTGGGGTTCACAAACAAGAGTAACAGAGGAATTGCGAATGGGAGGAAAGTTGGAAGGACATCAATTGCGTGCACCTGTATATTTTGATCTGTTGGTATGAATACGACTCACTGAAGATGATCTTATTCTTCATTTGGTTGTTTTGTTTGAATTATATCACACTTTGAATGTTCTTAATGTTGACCAACGTTTATATAATTTCAGTCTCCTTTTTACGAAAATTTGTATGGATTCCATTTTCACACTTTTATCCAATTACGCCCCTACAAAAGTAATCCACAGTAGTGCAATCGAGTTATCTGCAGGTTCAATAACCATCCGGTCACTATAACTATACTCTTTTTCACTTCAGAAGATGCAGACAGTAGTCATCCCAGTGGTTCGAAGCGACCTCATACACTTGATGACGAGGATGACGACGGTTCGACAAATCAAACTTCCTCAAATTCGGTTCACAACAAAGTGTCTCGCTATGACAGTAGTATGGCTGAGGCCGTATCAATAAACAATCAACCTTCCCAAATATATCCACCACCTCCAAAAGGCACACCGAAATTGATGGATGGTGTATCTCGTGTTGTCACCTTAGATCAAGATAGTCCTGAAGCTCACGAAGCGCGGAGCTTAGCCGATCGCCTATTCCGTATTGGCGGTTGTATCTATGTCGATGGCCAACCCGTTTTTCCAAACGCTCAATCTTCGGATAGCGAGGGAGATCATTTGGAGCCTAATACAAGCAGTGAGAATAATANGGTTTCAATAACACAACGTAATATGGAAGCACTCATCTCTTACGACTATTGTGTTTCACACAAAGCAGACGGTTGCCGGTATCTTCTTCTCGTGACCGGACCGAATCAAGTTTACATGATAGATCGAGCGAATTTCGTTTATCGAGTTGAAGTACTGCACTTTCCCACTGTGGCTTGGGTTAAAAGCGTCCATCAGTCGGGCAACGCCCAATCTCATTCTCCTTCTGAGTTCCTTTCCGTGAATGATGGCCATTTGCGGAACACCTTGCTAGATGGTGAAATGGTTCTTTGCCACGACCCGTCCAAACCACCCCCAGGACCTCATGAAGAAGTGACCAGTGGGATCCCCCGCTTCCTTATTTATGATATTGTGACTCTGAACAATCAACCGGTTGGTCGATCTCCGTTTGCCGAGCGTTATTCGGTGATTGACAAACAAGTGATTTGGCCTCGAAATACCGCGGGCCACATGGGTCTCGTCGACTTTGGGATACAGTCATTCTCAGTCAGACGCAAACCCTTTATGCCCCTCAATAAAACGGAAGAAGTAAGTCATTTCAGCACGCGTTTGTCAATAATTAAATTTCCGAATTTGTGATCTGAAACCAGGGCTTTCCAGTTCTCTCGTAGCGAGCGGTAATGTGATCAGCATTCTTATCTTTGTTTCAAGTTGCCATCTAGTCTTAATGCAATTAGCTAGCTACTTGCAATGTTTTAGAGAAATCCCTGCCGTTGTGTTTTTAACTTCATCGGTGTTCCCCGCCAGTCTTTAGATGACCGAATGTGATTCACGATCAAATAAATAACTCTTCTGTTTGGGCATTCCTGATTCAGACTGTTTTAAACTGTACCAGCTCGTCACCAGATGTATTTACTCACATCTATCTCTTCCCCAACTATACGTTAAGATGGAATTAACCTTGTTAGGGAATTGGTGGCTCTATTCTATAGTCCCCGGTGGTAGGCGGCTCTGCCATCGCCCGGCTCGCTACCACCTCTATAGGTATAGATACTTGCGCCCACTCTCTTCCCTCTATTTGTCAATGAGGTCGTTTCCCAAACTGTCAACCCGATTCATTCTTTTACTGATGACGTCACCCTCCACTGCTCCCTCTCCTAAAGCAGTGCTCGCCATGCCCAGAACAACATCGATGGTGACCGTAGTGCAGTTAATATGTCACTGGACTCCGATCTCGAACACATCTCCTCCTGGGGAATTGCAAACCACGTTCCGTTCAATAGTTCTAAAACCTCTCTTCTTTCAATTTCTTTAAAACACCATTCTCCGCTCATCTTTAGATTCCACCCAACTGCTTTCCACAGACGCTGTTTCCCTTCTTGGATTGCTTATAACCTTATGCTGGTTCCCTTTATAACCAAGCTTGCTTCTGGTGCTGCGCGCAAGGTTGGATTTCTATTTCGCGCCAGACGTTTTTTCACCCCAGCTCATCTTCTATTGTACAAAGCTCAATTCCACTCTGCTCTTGAATACTGTAGTCACGTGTGGAGTAGGGCTTCGTCTTCTTCCATTTTTCTTCTTGATTGTGTTCAACGAAAGGCCATCCGGCTAATCGACGATCCTTCCCTAACATCCAGTCTACAGTCGCTAGCCCATCGTCGAGCAGTTGGTTCATTGTCCCTGTTCTACCGCTACTACTTTGGTTTTTGTTCTTCCGAACTTGCCTCGGCATTTCCTCTTCCTGCAACTCTTACCCGCCCATCCGGTACACAGGCATCTAGTCATCCTTATCCGGTTTCTGTTCCCAGATGTCGTACCTCTCTACTCCAATCTTTTTCCCCCGAACTGCCAAACTGTGGAACATCCTCCCCCATGTTGGTTTTCCCTCAACTTAGAATCTTACACTTTTTAAACGCAGAATTAATAAACTGGATCTTGCGTGAATGTTTCTCTACTCTCCTCTTTACAGTATGCTATTTGTCCATGAGGATTTCCCCGTTTACTATAATTCACATTGTGTAATTTTAAAAAAATAGTTTGGAACTATTAGCAGGTACCCAATCGCGTCAAGGCTGTTGGTATCCCTCATTCTCTGCAGATTGCACAATGTACGTGAAGAGCAGACCCGGGGGTAGGGGTGGGGAAGGGCTAGGTTTTGCGCCGGTCGTGGATGCATCTATCAAATCTTCACCCACCAACAACCGGTAGAGCACCGTCACACTTAACAAAGACCAACAATTGTTGTGCTCATATTCATCTGCGCGGCCTCTATCGATGGAACCGCAATTTGGAACTGTTTGTTAGGGAATAGAATCCTCCAGAAGTATGTGGCAATCCGCAAAGAATTGGGAACAGGATAAAAATAGATTGTCGGTGTTTGAATACCGCTGTCTACGTCGCATTGCATAAGTCTGGTGGGTAAATGGGACTAGCAATGTCGAGTTTAGGGGCCTTTGAATTCGGCCGCGTCATTTATTTCGAAAATTATATTTACACTTTTGTGGATTTATTTGTCATCAAATCGCATTGTTCTCAATTTCACGAAATGCTATCCTACACGAGCACGTTCATGAAATCGTTGTGTTATCGGGCGAACAGCACCTTTTGTGAAATATTCCAATAATGTGAGAAATAAATTCAAGTGGATGATCAAAACACAAAACGGCGAAAAGAGAAAGCATCGAGCAGGCTGGCAAGTTGCTCTCAGACAGTGCAGCACTAGTCAAATGCAAATTCCTCTCATTTTAACAAGCAATGTTCGTTCTCTGTTGGGAAAAGTCGAGGAGGTGGTAGACATCACAAAGAAAAGAGAGTACAAAAATCTGGGAATTATTATGCTTCAGTAATCGCGGATACATGAAGAAATCCCTAGTGAAATTTTACCGGTGGATGGATATAACTTGTATCGGGTTGACCGCCCCGCGAGTGTCCGTAAACGAGGTGGTGTTGCAAGTTACGTAAGCAAAAACTGGAGTAAATCAACTACCCAACGGTTAAAATCAGTTGTCATGTCATCGAATGTAAGCCCCGCTTTTTGAGTGGGTTTCATTCCAACCTTCTTGGAAACTGTTACCTGTCACCCACAATATCAGTGGCTGACATAAATAGCTTTTCTGACATTATTCATACTTTCATCATATCAAAAACAAGTGAATCTTTGTGCATATTTTTTGATGATTTCAACGGACA